AAATAAACAATACTATCAGATAGAGCGAATAAAACTGCATATAATTGACACAAAGATTTGGGTGGATTTGGGGGGTTTTCCTACCGAAAATTCATAATCTTTTTGCAAAAAAATGAGAATTGTTGCATCCCTATGACCGAGTTTGGGTGCAGTTACGTTGTTTATTTTAATTCATTCTACGAAAGAAATGTAAATGAAAAAATCAAAGTTGGATGTTAGAAAAGACAATAAACTCTGAATGCTTCTAATTAGTAACTGAAATTCTTCGGATATTGATTTTAACCATTGAGCAAAATCATATTTTATGCATAGATTTCAATTCGTTTCTGAATTAATCGATCACCTTTTCTATTTTCATTTCATTGCATATTCATCAGATAATATACATTGAATATATTGACAGATGTATATATTTTAATTAGGATATGTTATATTCCCATTTGTTTTCATAAAATCCAAAGATTGTATTAAATTATTCCCTTGTTTCATTGTGTTTTAGTTATAATTGTTTTTTTTTCACGTAAGTTATATTTATATCTTAAGAAAATAAATAATAAAATAATAATCATTCTGCTTTTATTAATGATCTGTCCGCATTGAATACTAATCATAAGTTTATATAAAGGAATAAAATAATTTTTTTCGTTGATTATTTATTACTGTCAGTCTATTTATTTATTTGTCTTATTGGTATTCTCTTGTTGTTGATTTCATTGTTTTCTATTTCGTTTTTTTCTTAATTTTCTATTATTTTTATTCTTATTCTTGAAACATCTAATTTAACTAATAAATAAGTCTGTCACGTCTGTGAGGTATAGGGAAGGGGAAGCCCTAAAAAGTTCGACTTAAAATTGACACTCACCATTTTCTTCCAAAATATATGTGAGCTTCACAAAATCTCTGATTCTAATGAATATTCTAATATAAATCTCCTTAGAATTGATATTTAAACTACTGAATGGACCAGCAATAGAGATAGGTTTAAAATGATAAATGAGTAATTGACTTCTTTCATCGTAAGAGTAACTTGTGATCATTAATTGAATTGTTGGATTGAACTGAATTGAAGAGCCATTAGGCCTTTTTTTGATTATAAATATAAAAATGCTGCGTCGATTCCATGTCTTTATCGGAATAAAGCCATTTTTTCCTGAAAACAAACGTGAACCTAATTGAAGCAAGAGACTCTCATGATGTACCTATATAGATGAATTGAAAAATTGATTTGTTGATAATCAATTTTTAGTCTAACTATTCATTTTCTGTTGAACCAACATGGCAAAGTGAATCAATTGATGTTCTCAGTTCGATATGCATCCTAAAAATCATCGTATATTATCAACTGTCAGATATCTTTTGAAACGATGTGCAAATAAACTTCTTTTATCGTTTATTGAACACCATCAAAAGTCATTTAATCAGATTATTTTCACGTATATTTTCGTTACATGAAAATATTGTTTTTTAATAAAATTTTGGTTGTTGACTATTGATCAGTCAATCTCTCATTGTTATTGGTCAGTTAATTTCTTATCATCGTTGGATGAGCTTTGCTCTTTTTTTATGAACCGTGGTAAAATTTATTAAAATATCTCAACGTTATCGCAACATGATTATTTTCAATGCAAACAATTTAAATTATTTTTTGTAAAAAAAAAGGAAACTATTAAAAACTTTACCTTAAAATGAGGTGTCCACTTAAAAATGATATTGTTTATGAAATAGCAGAACTTTTTTTGTAGGAATCTTAATAAATTCAATATTCTAAAATTTGATTTGATACATATTGCATATTTTCCTTTTTTTTTTCTATTTAACTATCTCATATGAACTAGACATTGTCTATATAAATATTCGATTCAATCGAAATTGTAGTACAATAAATGTTAAGATTTGTTTTGTTTATTGAATATTCTTGAACGAGAATATTCATCTTAAAATATTGATACATTTCTGAATCGATATAAAGATATTCAATTTTAAGTCCATAATATTCTTGTAAAAATTCAATTGGCTGATTTTGATGAGAACAGCTTTGAACCTGAAACATGACATTATTTTATTTTTCGAATTTTTCCTTTTCAATATTTTACAAATCACTAAACTAAATACAGATTTTGATAATTTCATTTAATTTGAGTTAGTTTTAGTTAAAAAAATAAATAATATGAACTTTAATTATAAAATGTAGAATTTTATATAATGCAGCAAACGTACAGCGACATATTCTTATTTTAATTATTTATTTTCTTTATTTTTATTTAAATGAAAAAAATAAAATATCTCTTTAGTTAATATATTCATTATTTTGGATAATCATCAGAACATTGTTTTAATTCACTAATAATAATAATAATACTGTATTAAGTAGATCCATCGTGATTACCACAATCTAACATTGGCTGATTATTGCCTGCATAATATAATTCTATATTTGTAATAGAAGTCCATATGAATTATTAATTTACTTATGTATGAGCAACTTAATTAGACATTGTATATAATTATGTTATTTCTGTAAAATAGGTGATGGTTATAGTTTAATAATCATGCCAAAATAATGTCAAGGTAATTACTATGAATCGAATTTGCATGGTCCAACTTTAATAGGTCCGACTCAGCCCATTCGAGCTGTTTCATTTAGACATTATTTTTTTTTCCAATATAAACACTACAAGAAGAATTCGAGTGCATTAACCCTAATATTGCAACTAAATTGATACATCTGCAAAATGCTTACAAAATTGTGATAAGTATCTGCATTATGCTAATCCTAACTTATACTAATGTCAAAGCCTAAAGTTATTCTTTTTAACACTAACACAAAAACATTAAATTCCTTTTTTAATCCTAATACAAGAATATTACAATTAGTATTATTTAATGCAATGTTAATGTTAAGTCGACACCCCTAATCTATAGTTCAATAAAACAAAGTTAGGTGTCAAAACGTAACAATTTTGAGGTCTTCTTAATTTTATTTATGTGACATTCTTAAATGCCAAAGATCTGATCTCTACATATCAATGCGAGAAAAGAACTTCGAACTTTTTCACTCAAAAGATCAAGTGACCAACCATTGAATAAACTAATTTTATCGTCGTCATTTAATACCAAAAGATACTACAAACGCCTCAATATGAAGAATAAACGTTGTGAATCAATACTTTTTTAAAGACAGTTGTCTATCAACACTACATGTACACCTTTATCAGATAATGATAAAATGAGTAATCGTTTCTCGGAGAAGAAAACAAAAGAATCGATAGATTGTCTATTAAACAAAAGAAAGATATTGATTGTTTGTGTGATGAATTGTGAGAGTGACTGCCTATGCCTTTTGGCACGATGGTGTCTTGTCCTATCTGCACACTCACAACTGTGTCTTTTCTTTGTTAAATGCAACTTATATGGATGTGATCACACAGGAGAGAGCAAAGAGAGAAGGTCAATCCTCGGTGAAAAGGTCACACGAGTGAAGCACGAAGGTCAATAAACGCTACAGATTGAACAGAGACATTTCTTTTCTCAAGTTGCGAATGACTGGAAAATATTCGCGATAATACGACTGAAGCAAAACTATCAAGAGATATTATTGCGACAGATCCCATGCATCATCACTCGTCATGTCCGTATCCGAGGACATCCGTCGAGCCCATATGTTCATGTGTATACACATCATTTATTCTTTTTCTCTTTTTTTAATTCTATTTCGATTTGATATTTTTCTGTTCATATTGAATGTATTAGGTCATTCTTTGAATTAAACCTGAACGAATAGGTTGCTCCATTACAATTATTCTCTTCTCAACATACTAATAATAATTTCAATTGTCATTTAAATACGTCCATCTTCTTTATTAATATATCTATTAAACGTTTTTTAAAGTAAACTAAATACATGTATGAATTTTTTTATAGACAATATTATTAGTTAACTATCTCTCTATTACAAAGACAATGAATACTGATTCCAGTTTATCACCAACAAATAAAGATTCAACACTTATGAATACATCTTCAAATTTGAATATGATGCAAACAGCTACATATTATCATAAACAATATCAATCAACTATTGATGACGTTTTTCCAGCATCAAATGATGTTTCATCATCAGTTAATAATATGATATCATCATTAACATTTTCTAAGTCAGTTACAAATTCAATGCGTGAGTATGAATATCCATGGATGAGACCAGGTATTTATAAGTTAATTGATACAAATGATGTATTGAAAATACATAGATGTAATATATAGAAATGATTAACATTTGTACTGTTATTTACTTTATTTATGATTACTATGAAATCGTTCTTTCTTTTTTCTTTGTAGAATTTAATTCTGAACATAAACGTGTTCGAACAAGTTATAAACATCATCAAATACGTGAATTAGAAAAAGAATTTAATTATAACAAGTAAGGAAAGAATATTTTTATGTTTATTTATAAATCTTAATAGATATTTAACACGTCGACGACGAATTGAAATTGCTCGTAGTCTTGAATTAACTGAACGACAAATTAAAGTAATAAAATCTTTTTTTTTTTATGTTAATCTATTCGTTTTCTTTGTTTAGATTTGGTTTCAATGTCGGTAAGCATAAATCACGAGTTTTTTTTTATTTGTTTGTTTTTTTCTTTTACATTAGTCGATGTTGCGAGCAATATGGGAAGTTTAAATCGCGTAATGATCCATATGTTCAACTCGAAGCAAATGCAACAAATCATGGTCAAAATCATCATTCATCTGGTATATCAACTAATGATACATCATGATCATCAATATCAAATGTTAAAAAAGAAAATAATTATCTATATAACATCAACGGAAATAATAAATAAATATTTAACTGTATATATAACGACTTTTGACTATTAGTCGATCGCAATAGAATCCATGCTTTTCGTTTTGCTCTTTAAAGATTAAAAATTGAATTTGCAATAGATTGTCAAATATTGTTTTATTAAAGCCTTTGTCACCTAAATTTCTGGATGCTTCAATTAATACTACACGACAGAAATAAGATTCATCAAGGTGTTTTCGTGTATGTGAAATCTTGTCATGATATTGTCGTATATGTCTGATGTTTTCTTAACTAATAACTAACACTTAGATGGCAGAAAAAACTGATATTTATGTATTTATTTATTAATAATAACTTCAATGTTTTCTATATTAATAGAGCGCCGAACTATCTTGTTTCGGTCTGTTGAATCAATTGATAAACAGATCAATCTATCTCTTGAAGAAAAGACAAATCAATCTGCTGTTCTCAACTCTTGCTTTTCAGCAATCGATTTATCAGTCAAATTCAATTGACTAGTTGTATTTGATGTGCTTTGAAAATCAATTCAAGAATAATGCAGAGTTCAATTTGCCGACGCGTTTCGTATCTTTGTTAAGATAGTACTCTTCAGGGCTAGATATTTGTATATCTACAATAGAAGAATTAAAAGAAATCATTTATAAAAATCAGATAAATTTATTTCATAATATTCTAAATAGCTCATGGAAAAAGAATCTGATAAGAAAACATTTAAATAGAGATTAAATATGCAAAGCAGCAATTTCTTGTAAGGACCGGGGCGCTTAAGACAAGAAATACGCCCCCTGTTGAAAATTGTTCCGAGCCACTCAAAACTGTTCATTCTGACATGGCAAACTCAGAAATATAGAGAACCACCATTTCCGACATATTCGAATGAAAAAACTGGTCTCGCTTCGCTAACCACCTTCATACCCTTCATGCTAGTCTTTTCACCCCTTCCCCACCCCCTTCCCACTGCAGAAAGCCTTGGAATTCGATTTGTACTAAAGTCCATCTGAAGCAACTTTTTACGCTCTACAACTTTGCCAGCGGCACTTTCTCTCTAAAATGTGGGCATCACGGTCATCTAGGGCTGATACTGGCCACGTTCCACGTGTTTTCACTAATTGAAGAGGGATTTTTGACCCTCTAGTACCATGAGAAACATGTCGGTCCAACTTGAAAGCTATCACATAGAAGGTAACGTTTCACGCTCTACAACTCTGATAAGAAATATCTACTGAGAAGGTCCATGATCAGAACAATTCTATTGCAATAGATGTTCATCGAACATCACTAAGCCGTTTTATTATTGGTTGCTGTGTTTATGTCGATTCCTATCGTTTGAGAACATCTCTAGCAGATTATTATCGATGGAATCATGCGTTGAAGGAGTGTATATGTCGTTCTTTTCGTTTCTCTTTATACGCATCCATGCCGTAATATTGGATGTGGTTGTGGGTGTGAGTGTGGGGTGTGGGTGTGGGTGTGGGTGTGGGGGGGGTGTGGGTGTGGGTGGAGTGTGGGTGTGGGTGTGGGTGTGGATGTGGATGCGGGTGTGGGGTGTGGGTGTGGGTGTGGGTGTTGATCTTCTGTTCACTCACACTCAAACCCACACCCACCCACACCCACACCGACGCCCACACCCACACCCACCCACACCCACACCGACACCGACACCCACACCCCACCACACCCACGCACACCCACACCCACGCCCACCCACACCCACAGCCACACCGACACCCACACCCACTCACACCCACACCCCACACCCACAGCCACACCCCACACCCACACCCACACCCTCTTCAAGCAGCTATCGGTAGAAGTGGTGTGCAAGTAGATCATCATGAAGGCGATGGATCAACACCTGCGGGTATTTTTGCCGTTACGACGTTTACTCTACCGAGCCGACCGTGTGAATGCACCTAATACGATGTATTCATGTGAACCACTGACGGAATATGACGGCTGGTGCGACGATGCAACACATCCGGACTATAATCATCAAGTTCGTCTTCCTCATCCTGCTAGCCATGAACGTTTATGGCTAGATAACGAAACCTATGATATTATCGGCGTACTCGGGTACAACGATCATCCAGTGGTACCTGGGGTCGGATCAGCCATTTGCATACATGTAGCAATACCTGATTTCCAACCAACGGAGGGTTGTATTGCTTTGGCTCTTTCTGATCTTGTCTGGGTCCTCGAACAAGGACTACAAGCTATCTTGGTTAGCAAATGAATGAATAACTCTATTATTTTGTTAAGGCGTACATGGAAACGTTTAGAAATAAAAGTTGAACTTAGACGTAGAAGGTGCGTTTACAGATGAGATTGATACATTCAGACCAGTTGTACAACGTATTCCGAGCTTTGCTAGAAATCATCATCATCATCAGGTTGGTTTAGAATTGTCATAACTATATTACGATTAATCATGAGTAATATGGAAGTTGTCTTCTTATTAGGAAGGTCATATGATTTTGAAATTTGTAGATACTCTTCCTATATTTAATTGATTAATTTATTTTTAGCGTAACGTTTCAACGTTGAAGGACGTCTTCTTTCGATGCAATGAATTTTGATAGAGAAGATTATTATGAGTCACATTTTCCACATGTTCATCATATAGTTCTTTGTACAAATTGACAAGAGAGGAAAGCCAGAAAAGAAAAGAGTAAGAATGGGTGAGTCAAAGCAATCATGACGTTTTTCGACCTTGCTCGAGGGTCTCTTCAGATGGTTTCGACTTGAGGGCTGGACAATATGCCCCAAAATAGGGAAATTGTTCCATTTACAGCAGAAATGCTTGACCCTCCCCCACAAAGTCAATGAGAAATGCTTTATTAAAAACCCTAAGCGTTATATATATATGCATTTCCTCAAGTAGAAATGAAATATACGCACAACAGGGTGTGGGTGTTGGTGTGGATGTGATGGGTGGACGTGGGTGTCTGGATGTGACTGGGTGTAGGTGGTTGTTGATCTCCTTATCACTCACACCCAATCATAATGGTTCAACTTCATAAGAAAATTCATTCGAATCTCGAGAATTCCATTCAATCAAACATTTCGATATCCAACAAACCAAAAAGAACTATACAGAATCCTGATGAAAAACAAAAATCATTCAGAAACTGACGTGAGATAACTGTTACATTTTATATTGGTTCGCTCCTTTTCTGATATGTCTGTCTTGTTGTGAAATAAGACGGAATTGTTATGAAACTAAATGTTACTGATCACGATCAGAGACGAGTGATTCAATAGAAAGATTGATTTGTGAAAATATCGACAATACAGCCTTTTTGACAAATGAATCGTTTGTTCGAGGTATGTGAAACGAGAAGATTAATTTGTTTGAATGGACTGATGAAGAAAATTTCGACGTGATTTTGCTCAATCTATGATCAACATTCTCTGAAGAATCTGATTATGTCAAATCGTTTATCATTTTTAATAGTCGAAATCTCCGTTTCAATGCAAATTGATTCTGATAGTATAGGTGAGAGTGAAAACACTCACGCTTGTGTTTCAAAGAAAAAGCTTGATAAAATGAATCATTACTGATATGAGAATAAGTTTGTTATTTTTCGTTCTTTCAGAACATTGCATCACGATTCTTGTGCAAGTCATCTTATTATAAAGTCTGTGTTGTTTTCATCATTTGTGAATGGATAATAATCGACGAATCTTATTCGAAGTAAGAAATCTTTTAATTCCATCATGAGTCAATATGGTTCTACGTCGATATCATCATCGATGCAGAAAACTAAATCGAATCCAGCATTATTTATTGATTATCAAATAGAATCTCCTCGTTTTTCTGTTCATAATGCACAACAAATACAAGAAGGTATCGAACATTTAAACGACAATGGTTATGCAGTATTTTCTCATGTGCTTTCGTCTGATGAAATTCCCTCTAATATCGATTTATTGTGGAAACATTTGGAAAATTTGCCAGCACCATATCAAATTAAACGAGATGATGCACGAACATGGGACATTGCATGGCCTGGTCTGGCTTATATTGGATTAATGCCAGATGAAGGTTTCGGTCAGTCACAGTTTGCATGGTCGATACGAGGAAATCCAAATGTGAAAAAGATTTTTGCTCAACTTTGGCAAACGAATGAGCTACTTGTTTCATTCGATGCTGTTGGTTGCTTTCGTGATTGGCATTGGAATTCAGCATGGAAAACAATAAGTGGATGGTATCATTGTGATCAGGTTAGTTCTTTCTTCTTTTATCTAATTTTATTTTTTGCTTTTTAATAGAATCCAATTGAAAAGCCTCATCGATGTTCGATTCAAGGTTTTGTATCTCTAACAGATACTAATGAATTCACTGGTGGTCTTGTTGTTGTACCTCAATCACATAAACATTTTGAGCAACTTCAATCCATCACTCGAAGCGGCAAGGGACGAGCCAATTTTTGTCGTGTACGTAGAAATCATTCTTTGCTCAAACAATTCAAACCACGTTTAGTCAAATGTAAAGCTGGTGATCTTGTCGTCTTTGATTCTCGATGTATTCACTGCAATACACCAGCTCTTGATACTGAAGAAATGACAACATTCAATAAAGACAAAACTCCTCAACTGTTACGCATTGTCGCTTACGTATGTATGAGTCCAACAGCAATGGTTTCTAGTGATAAACTCGAAGAATTTCGAAAGACTAGAGAAGAATTTGTTAGAGATAGAATAACATGTACACATTGGCCTTGTGAACTCAATGTTTCCGGTAAGTAAAACTTCAACAAATGAAAAAAATATCCATTGATTTTGTTTAGGTGAATCACCATCTGGTGTCAAACAGCCACTCAGACTTTCGATGTATCAACGATCTCTCATTCTTGGCACCAATGTCGATCCAGATAATGAAATAGCACGAGAAGTGATCGATGTTTAATTTCAAGTTTCACCGTCTCGCTACGTACTTACACACCAAAATATTGACAGTAATTTGATAATTTTCGTTGTTGTGGTGTGAATAAGAAATTTGAAATAAAATCAAAGAGATATGCAAAGAGATCCTTGAGCAAAAATAATATCCTATTTTTTTAAAGAAGCAGCTGTAGAGAATATCGCCTATTTTGATGACAACTATTTTATGAATTAACGAGAGTGTGGGTGTGAGTGTGTAGGTGAGGAGAAGAACAACAGTCGCACCCACACCCAAATCGAATCTGCATACATCATAAAAAGCACTAGAGAAAATATTTGATAAAAAGATAAGAATACAGAATGAGAAGAAAAAAACAAACATTTTCTCCTTCCGACCCCAAACAACAACAACATGACTAATGTCGACGAATACACTTATGAAGTAATCAATAATGAAAATGATGCACATGTGTGTGCTCGACTCATAGCCGAAGAATTCACTTCAAGGAATCTTTTAACTATATTCGATAAAATATCATCGGAACGATTTTTTGAACTAGTATCATGGCCATGGATGAAAGAGGCACTCGATCAACGACTGTCGTTTCTTGCACGACATCGTTCTTCGGGCGAAATCGTTGCAGCAATTATAGCAATGGATCTATATGTGATTCGCAAGAAGTATCCATACGATGCTTCTAGTCCGCCAGCAGCCATACCAATCGAGGATCTAAGCGACGAAATGGATGAAATATTCATTCGCCAAGATTTTGGTAAAGAACTAAAACCGAATATGGTTTTATACATTTTGATGGGGGCAACTCGAGTTCAACGTTCAGGCAAAGGTGTGGCCAGTCGATTACGAACACTCATGTGCAATAATGCACGAAATACACAAGGGTTTCAATATGCAATTATACAATCGACAAATCAAGTGACACGTCATATCTATGTCGATAAGATGGGTGGAAAAGAATTAAGAATTGTTGATCCAAGAACATGGATATGGAAGAAGAATGGCGATGAATTATCCTGTCCATACAAGGATTACAAGGGTGAATCTATATCAATTATTCTAATCAAGCTAATACCAGATCATGATCAGTAATTCATTTTCTTTGAGTGATTGTGTGCAAATAAAATTATTCAGCTGACACAGAAAAAATTTTCTCGTTTCTAGCAAACTTCGGTTTGTTAAAGTAACGTAGTTCTTATTTTACAAGTTTAGGATGTGTAATCGATACGCAGAGACATTTTCATATTGATCTTGAACGATCAGAAAAAATTTCTGACTTTGTATTTGAAAAGTTAGTCTGAACCCCAAAAGCTCCACCAATGTAGCATTTTCAACATTTTTCGTGATTTTTTTGAGCCTTTTATCAAAGTGAAATCTGTGAACGTAGTGTATATCTAGAATCAACTTATAAAGCGGCATCGAATGATGTGTCTTTGAGCTTCATTTGATGATTTTCATTGTTTTTTTTGGAGCATAAACGTACGATGGTACAAAGATCGGGGGACAGAGTGTGGGTATGCTAGAAGAGAAGCCTTACACCTTCATGCACACCCACACCCCACAAATGTTTGTGTCGAAGAGATCGATGAGAAAAGTTCGTTTGTTTAAACTTCAAATAAAGTGTCGCCTTCATTTGTCTTCGAAAAGACAAGCAAAATGATCATTGTGTATCATTGATTAGTTGCACCATGACAACAAGCCTTGAAGGTTTGTTGTTAAACAAGAAGAACAAGATGAAGATCAACAGTAAAAAGAAAATATTTGTTGTTGTGACCAGATTCGAATGTCGAAGAAGACAAACACTCGTTTTATCATTTCACTAAAGATCAATTGACTGATGACAAAATTGGTTTATTTACAATGCAGAGGAGTCAAACGCCATCAATTGTTTCTTTTGAACTTCAGTATAGATAAAAGATCAATACGAGACAGACAAGGAGACACGAACGACTCTTTCGTTTTCCATGTGAAAATTTTTGCCTTTGTAAGCTATTTTTAAACGGCTTAAATAAGCTTACACGTCAATTAAGTGCTTTAAAGCACTTAAACATTACGGTCTTAAGCTGCTGAAAGCGGCTTCAACCAATTAAGCTGCTTAATATAGCTTACAATGCGCTTTCCAGCGCTTATCATGAAAAGTGCTGAAAAGTGCTGTAGATTTTTATTTCTTTAAGCGCTTTCCAGCACTTATCATGAAAAGTGCCGAAGAGTGCTGTAAATTTTTATGCTTTTAAGCGCTTTGCAGGGCTTATCATGAGAACTGCTGAAAGGTACTGTAATCTTTTATTCCTTTACACGCTTCCCAGCACTTATAATGAAAAGCGTTGAAAACTACTGTAAACTTTTATCTTTGGAGACTTGAAAATGCTGTTATCTTTCATATGTTAAAACGACACCCATGTGCAAATTTTTGGCTTTGTCAGCTATTTCTCAGCAGCTTAAAAACCTAACCCTGTAGTAAGCTACTGTAAAGCGCCGAAGTATACCCATTTCAAACTTCTGAAAATGACTTCTCTAAGAAAAGCCGCTTAAAATAGCTTAGAAAACGATTTTCAAGTATTCTAAGCTCTTATTATGAAAATCGCTGATAAGTACTGTGACTTTGTCACTTCTAAGAACTTTACACCACTTTACATGGAAATCGCTGAAAGTGCTTCATTTTTTCTTATATTTAAGCGCTCGGCATGACTTACACAAAAAAAGCACTGAGAAAGGTCAGTGACTCCTTCAGAAGGGCAGTTAGAGCAAGTATTGATTGCCAATTTACCTTACTTTCGGAAATATGTGTTTTTGTTTTTTCTGATTAGAAAATGTTCACAAAATGAGTCGATATCACTGTTAGTGAACTGCAAAACACTTTTTTTTTGATCACGATCAGCCTTTTCTCAACATCCTACGTATACCACTTCGATCTTGTAGTTTTCTCAAATTTGAACTCTACAAGTCGTTACAATATTTGATTGCATGTGCTGTAGTTAAGAGAGGGTCCATGAGAATATCACCCAATATGAGCAACCCAGGCATTTGACAAATTTTAAAAGTGCGATATTTTGGCATAAAATGAAAGATCATGTTTCAAAACCTACAAATCCAAAATTTCAGCTCATTCTGGTTTTGTCTTGAAAAGTTATAGAAATAACTCTGGTAATGTGTGTCGATGGTTTGGGCCAAAATATCGAAATTTGCATTCTCGAGGTATTTCGTCAATTTCTTCTCAACGCTTACAGTTATCTTTTATTGTGATATCTCAAAAGATAGAGAATTTTTCGCTCTATCGAATCATGTATAATGACATTCTATACATGCCTTCTGAGTCCCACTGAGTCTCAATATATTGTATGACAGACCGCTCAAAAATCGAGTCCGATGGCACTATTTTAACCAAAAGGGTATCAAGAACGGTTCGTGCCATATTTTTGACTCCAGAGGGTGTGGGTGTTGATCTTCTGTTCACTCACACTCAAACCCACACCCACACCCACACCCACTCACACCCACCCACACCCACACCCAACAATGCTATGGAACTGAAAGCAGATCTTTCTTTCAAAAAGAGTTTATTTAGAAATATGCTCTTCATAGCGTTGCATCGGCGTCTTATCTTCAACGATTTGTACCTTGTTTTAGTTTTCCACAAGCACAGCATGGAGCAAGAATTAGAACAAACAGAGTCACGGTTAAACCATATGCAAAATTGTATACCCTTGAATCACAATAACTGTTTTTTCTATCGATTGTATTAACCCAAACCCAAGAAATACCCTGAAAACGAACCAAAGATGAATCATGAATTTTGAGGATTGAGACTAGCATTGATACTCACCACTACACTCCAAGCGAAAGAAAAGAGAACAAACAAAACCACTATAACAGCTAGTGAGACTATGCAGATTTTCCGACAGTTATTACTACAGATGGCTTGACCGACAACCTAGAGAAGAATACATCATCTTGCAGAAGTCATAATAAAGAAAGCCAAGCTGTTTCAGTTAAGGAGAAAAACATGGCTCTAAGATTTCAAGAGGCTTCACAAGCAGAGACTTCAATATTTTTCAAGATTTCCATAGACTTCCGACAGTTTCAAGTAACTTCAAAAGACTTCGTAAGATCTCATGATATTTCATCAGAGCTCTTCGAATTTTAGATATTTATAAGGGTTTTTCGACACTGCGATAGTCAATCATGATTCTCTCAAACTCAGTCGACTCCGCAAGATTCCATAGATTTTAAGGGTGAAAATGATGATGTATAATGTCGCACAAAAGTTTGATGCAGTTGCATTCTGCAGTTATCTTCTCAGCGGTAATAAGTAGAAACAATGTGAAAAAAAAA